CATTCAGCCCCATAGACACCCCATAGCCCCCCATAGACACCCATTCAGCCCCATAGACACCCCATAGCCCCCCATAGACGCCCATTCAGCCCCATAGACACCCCATAGCCCCCATAGACACCCATTCAGCCCCATAGACACCCCATAGCCCCCCCATAGACACCCATTCACCCCCATAGAGCCCCCCCCATAGCCCCACCTGGTAGAGCTGCCCCATGGTGGCGCTCGTGGGGGGGATGACGTTGTTGACGAAGAAGAAGAGCGCGTCCTCGGCCCGCAGGTGGATCCGCTTCCGGATCAGGAAGTAAAACTGCCCCACTGCCGGCCCCAAAACAGGCAGGAATCAACCCAAAACAGGGCCCACGTGACGTCACGCATGACGTCATCATAGGGGTACCCCCCACCCCCCTTTACCTGTCAGGTCCGATGGCACCAGGTATTTCTTCTTATCCAGGTCCCCAATGCGGGCTTTAGGAGCCTTCTCCACTATCACCTATGGGGAGATGGGGTTAAAGGGAACCCCCCCTCTATTGGAAGTGGTACGGTCCAACGGGACCAAGCGTTCCCATAGGGGGCTATGTTGGGGGGGGGGGGGCCGAAGGACCCGAAGGGGGGGGGTGGCGGGGGCCCCGAAGCGGTGCCGGAAAGACCCGAAGGGACCCGAACCAGAACCGGGGGCGGAAAGACCCGAACGGACCCGAAGCGGTGCCGGAAAGACCCGAAAGGAGCCGAACCGGAACCAGGGGGCCCGAAGGACCCGGATCAGAACCGGGGGGACACGAAGCGGTGCCGGAAACACCCGAAGGGAGCCGAACCGGAACCGGGGGTGCCCGAAGGACCCCAAAAGACCCCAGGGTTCCGACCGGGTCCGAAGCGGTGCCGGAAGGACCCGAACCGGAACCGGGGGCGAGACCCGAAGGGGCCCTAAGAACCCGAACTGGTGCCGGAAACACCCGAAGAGACCCGAACCCGAGGACCGCAAGGGCCCCAAAGAACCCGGATCGGAACCGGGGGGCCCGAAGGTTCCGACCAGGCCCGAAGCGGTACCGGAAAGACCCGAACGGACCCAAAGCGGAACCGGGGGGTCCGAAGGTTCCGACCAGGCCCGAAGCGGTACCGGAAAGACCCGAACGGACCCAAAGCAGAACCGGGAAGGTCCGAAGGCTCCGACCGCGCCCGAAGCGGTACCGGAAAGACCCGAACGGACCCAAAGCGGAACCGGGGGGTCCGAAGGTTCCGACCAGGCCCGAAAGGCCCCGACTACCCCCAAAGGCTCCTTTAAGGCTTCCGGGAGGCCCAAATCGATACCGGGGGGGTGGTTTACGGCCTTTAATCGTTACCGGCACCGGACGGATCCAAAGGGGCTCCGGGGGGGGGTATATCCGCTCACCGGCACTCTATCCGGGTACTTCTTGCGTATCTTCTCGCCCTCACAACGGCGCTTCTCGAACGGGTGCTCCTCCTTGTATAGGAACTTCATGATGGCGGCGGCGGAGGAGGAACCGGTACCGGCAGCAATGGCGGAAGAAAAAGGGGGGGGGGGAAGAGGGGGGTAACCGGGGAGAGGAGGCGGAGTCCGGCCCCGCCGGCGCCACGACAACAGCGCCCGCCTTACGCAGTTTACGTAGCGCCGCCTGAAGGGGAAGGGAAAGGGGGTGGTGCACTCACGGCGCATGCGCGTCGCTACGCAAAGTGCGTAGGCGCGCTGCGGTTGGCGTGGTGGAGGCGGGAGGTCTGTAATGGATGAACCGATTAAGGAGCTAATTGACGGACTAATTAATAATCTCATTAACAAACTTAATTAAGGAACTAATTAATGACCCGATTAATTAATAAAGAATTCACGGCAGAGCCTCCGCAATTAACGTAAGCGTGAACGCTCCCCCCCCCACCCCCCCCCGTTCCGGTCACGCGGTGGGCGCGGCGCCGAGGTAAACACTGCCACCACGTGACCGCCCCCTCGGGGGGGGCGTGGCCAACGAGACGGCATGGACTGAACCATTAATAGAGATGGGGGGGATTTTAAAGGAACCCCCCCAAATTCGTTGTTTAAAGCGGTTTGGGGGGGTCCCAAGGGCCCCCCCATATTAAAGGGGTCCCCCCCCATAGCACAGAGAGGCCGAGAACACCGCGTGTGGGACTAAGGTCTTTTAAAAACAAAATGGGGGGGGGACACCCCCACCTCCCCCCATTCAATGTCCATGTTCACAAATTAGGGGGGCAGGGGGGGAACCCCCATTTGTGTCGTCCCCCCCCCTCCACAGCACCGATTTGGGGTGCTCGGGGTCGCTTTAACCCCCCCCCAAGCAAAGAGTCCATTTCCCCCCCCATTGGGGGGGGTCCGAGGAGCATTGGAAGAGTCCATTGTGGTTGATGGAAGAGGGGGGGGTGCTGGCACTGTCCTTTAAAGGGGGGGGGTCGTGGGGGGGGGTTCGGTGTCACCACAGCCGGTGCTGGTGCAGGTTCCGGCTCAGCACGGAGCGGACGTCGGCAGTGAACCTGCAATAGGAGGGGGGGTAAAATACAATGAGCCCCCCCTGTTGTATGGGGGGGAATGGGTTCTTCCATCCCCATGGACCCCCCCCTGCTATGGGTGCAATGGTACGGTCTCACCTCAAGGCATCCAACATGGGCAGGAGGTTGAGCAGGGCCGTGTCGCTGGGGTCGCTGAACCAGGACTTGATGGGGATGGCGTTGTCTGGGGGGGGGGACAATGGGGGTGTTAATTGGGGGGGGGGAAAATGGGGGGGGGACATTGGGGGGACTTCAATGGGGGGCCCAATGGGGGTTTGAATGGGGGGGGGGTTGAATGGGGGGGCAAAATGGGGGGGGGTCCAATGGGGGTTTGAATGAGGGAGTTCAATGGGGGGGTACAATGGTGGGGTTCAATGGAGGATTTCAATGAGGGAGTTCAATGGGGGCTTTCAATGGAGAGGATCAATGGGGGGGTCCAATGGGGTTTGAATGGGGGGGTTCAATGGAGTTTCAATAGGGGGGTTCAGGGGGGGTGTCCAATGGAGAGCTTCAATGGGGGGGTTCAATGGAGAGGATCAATGGGGGGGTACAATGGGGGGATCCCCTGGAGGGGGGGGTCCAATGGGACGGTCCAATGGAGGGGCCTAATGGGGGGGGTCCAATGGTGAGGGTCCAATAGGATGATCCAATACAGGGTTCCAATGGAGGGGGTCAATGGGGGGGAGGTTCAATGGGACAGTCCAATGGAGGGGTCCAATAGGGGGGTTCCAATGGGGGGTTCCCATGGAAGGATCCAATGCTGGGGGGTGCTGTTCCCTACCCGGGTGGCTGCGGTAGGCGCCGGGGGAGTTGTCGAGGATGACGATGCTGGAGAGGTCGCTGTGCACCACCGACAGGTCCTTGATGTAACTGCCCAGCTCCAGCGTGCAGTGCTGGGGGAGGGAGGGGCTAAGCCGTTAGGCTCCGCCCCTTCCCATTGTGGCAATTGGGGGGACGCCTAAGCCACGCCCACAAACCAACAGGCCACGCCCCCTCTATTAAACCCTGCCCGTCAAGATCCCACCCCCAGCCTCGCTTTGACCCCCTCCAGGCCACGCCCCCCCATTGGACCACCCTAAAGCCCCGCCCCTTTGAATCACCGCCCCTTTGCCCTTTCACTCCATTAACGCCCTACTAAAGCCCTACCCCATAAAAACCACGCCCCCCTGGCCAAGCCACGCCCCTCTCTTCCACTTAACCTCAAGCCACGCCCCCTGGGTTCAAACCACACACACACCCCCGTAGTGGCTTCCCCCTCCATTCTCATTGGTTCCTCTCCCAAGCCACACCCCTCCCTTCCCATTGGTGCGCTCCTCAACCCCCTGCCTTTCCCCTCAAGCCACGCCCTCTCCCCTCTCTTCCACCCCATTGGCCGCTCTCCCGAAGCCACGCCCCCTTCCTCCCCATTGGCCCTTCTCCTGAAGCCACACCTCCTCCCTCCCCAAACCACGCCCCCTTTCCCCTCCATGTTACCACCCTCCCCCACCCACACCCTCCCTATTGGCCGTGGCTCGTTGCACCCCCACCCCCTTTGTGTCCAATCCCACCCCTTAGGAGTAAAACCCCGCCCCTTAGGGTTAAGCCACGCCCCTTAGGGGGTTAAGTAACGCCCCTTAGGGTTAAGCCCCGCCCCTTAGGGGTTAAGTAACGCCCCTTAGGGGTTAAGTTACGCCCCTTAGGGTAAAGCCACACCCGTTAGGGTTAAGCCCCGCCCCTCCGGGCTAAGCCCCGCCCACCTGCCGGTAGTAGCGCCGGCTGAGGATGCAGCGGTTGTTGTCGAGCTTGTCGGCCACGGCGCTGCCGTAGATCTCCATGCTGGCCGTGAACACCACCAGCTCGTACCATTGACTCACCTGGGGGGGGGGGGTAATGGGGAGGTAAATAAAGGGGGTTGGGGGGGTATAAAGGGGGTGGTGGGGGGGTTTAGGGGTAAAAAGGGGGGTTTTGGGGGGGAAATGGGGGTTTGGGGGGAATGAGGGTAAAAGGGGGGGTTGGGGGGGTAAAAAGGGGGATGGGGGTGGGGTTTAGGGGTAAAAAGTGGGGTTTTGGGGTGTAAATGGGTGATTTGGGGGAAAGGGGGTAAAAATGGGGGGATTTAGGGGTAAAAAGAGGGGTTTTGGGGGAAAATTGGAGATTTGGGGGGATGGGGGTAAAAAGACAGGGATTTAGGGGTGAAAGGGGGGTAAAAAGGGAGGGTTCAGAGGGATAAAGGGGTAAAAACAGGGCTTTTGGGAGAAAATGGGGGATTTAGGGGGGATTTTGGGGTTAAAGGGGGTAAAGGGGGGGTTGGGGGATACAGGGGTAAAAAGGGGGGTTTGGGGGGGAGGGGATGGGGGCAATGGGGTAAAAAAGGGGGGTTGGGGGGATACAGGGGTAAAGGAGAGGTTTGGGGGGATATGCGGGTAAAAAGGGGCAGTTTGGGGGTAAAAAGTGGGGGTTTGGGGGAGACTTGTGTGGGACTAGGGTTAGGGCTGACTTTGGGGCAATTTGGGGCATTTTGAGGTGATTTGGGGTGATTTTGGGTGATTTGGGGTTTTGACGTGATTTGGGGGTGTTTTGGGGTGATTTTGAGGTGATTTGGGGCAATGTTGGGATGTTTTCGAGCAATTTAGGGGTGTTTTGGGGCATTTTGGGTATTTTGAGGTGATTATGGGGTGATTTGGGGTGATTTTGGGGTGTTTTGGGAGATTTTGGGGTGTTTTAGGGTGATTTTGGGGGAATTTCAGGGATTTTGATGTGATTTTGGGGTGTTTTAGGGTCATTTAGGGTGATTTCGGGCTGTTTCAGGCCTTCACTCACCACCTCCAAGAAGAAATCCACGTGGGGCCGCTTGTGCACGAAGAACCTCACTGGGTGCTTGTCAATGACAACCTTTGGGGGGGGGGGGTAAAAAAGGGGGCGGGGTCAATGGGACCCCAACATCATTGCACCCCCCCCTCCCATAAACCCCCAATGGTTGGGACCCCCCCCCCAATGGTTGGGACCCACCTTAAGGATGAAGTCCGGGGGGGTCCCCGGCCGCACCGTGGGGCGCAGGACCCCATCATGGTGGGAATGGATCAGGGTCTCATCCAGGTCCAGCACCAGGATCTTCCTCTTGACCTGGTCTGTAAATGGAGGGGGGGGGCACCCCAACCCCATTAAAGTCAATGGGGGGGTCCCCAACATCATTGAAGTCAATGGAAGGGGACCCCAACCCCATTAAACTCAATGGAAGGGGTTCCAAACCACATTAAAGTCAAAGGAGAGGGTCACCAACCACATTAAAGTCAATGGAGAGGGTCACCAACCCCATTAAAGTCAATTGGGGAGGTCCCCAACCCCATTCAAGTCAATGGAAGGGGACCCCAACCCCATTAAAGTCAATAGAGGGGGACCCCAACCCCATTAAAGTCAATGGGGGGGGAGGCCCCCAACAGCATTAAAGTCAATGGGAAAGGCCCCAACCCCATTAAAGTCAATAGAAAAGGACCCCCTCCCCATTAAAGTCAATGAATGGGATTTCCCAACCCCATTAAAGTCAATGGGGGAGGTCCTCTACCCCATTTAACCCAATGGGGGGACCCTTAAATCTAATGGAAGAGTCCCCAAACCCATTTAACCCAATGGGTGGGATTTTGGGGTTTTTGTGGGGTTTTGGGGGGTTTGGGGGACCCCAAACCCATTTAACCCAATGGGGGGTCCCCAAACCCCACCTTTCTCCATCCCCATTGCAGTTGCCCCCCCCCCCAACTCACTGAGACGGTTCCTGGAGATGGGGGACAATGGGAGGACGTCGTAGCGCACGGTCTGGTACTGGATCACCTATGGGGGGGACCCCAAAGTGAGGGGGACCCCCCATAATGAATGGGGATCCCCCCCCATAATGAGTGGGGTTCACCCCCATAATGAATGGGACCCCCCTATAATGGAAATGGAACAGTCCAAAGTGCATAGAAAGACCCTAACGGGGAGGAAGAGACCATTCAAACCAATGGGGGGGTCCAAAATGAATGGGGACCCCCCCCCATAATGAATGGGACCTCCCTATAATGGAAATGGAACAGTCCAAAGAGCATAGAGGGACCCCAAAGGGGAGGAAGAGACCATTCAAACCAAAGGGGGGGTCCATAATGAATGGGGACCCCCCCCATAATGAATGGGACCCCCCCATAATGGAGATGGCAGAGTCCAAACTGCCCCCCAGGCCCATAATGGACCGTTCCACCCCCCCCAACCATTATGGTGCCTTCCCCCCCCCAAAACAGGCCCAAAAGTAGCTGAAATCACCCCAAAACCGGTTCCACTTCCAAAAGCGGTCCTGAAAGAACCCAAATCCAGCCCTAAAGACCCCAAAACTGCCCAAATTCAACCCAAAACCGGCCCTAAATGCCCCAAAACTGCCAGAATTCACCCCAAAACCGGCTCTAAAGAACCCAGAACCACCCAAATTCACCCCAAAACCGGGGTCTCCATCCAAAACCGACTCCAAAAGACCCAATAAAAGCCCCAAACCCAGCCATAAATACACCAAACCAGCCCGAATTCACCCCAAAACCGGCCCTAAAGAACCCAAAACCTCCCGAATTCACCCCCAAACCGGGTCCCCATCCAGAACCAACACAAAAAGACCCCAAACCAGCCCGAATTCACCCCAAAACCGATTTCCCCTCCAAAAGCGACCCCATTTCACCCAAAACCACCTCAAAACCAGCCTTAAACACCCCAAAACATTCCCTGAAGAACCCAAAGCCGCCCGAATTCACCCCAAAAACGGGGTCCCCATCCAAAGCCGACACCAAAAGACCCCAAAACCTCCCGAATTCACCCCAAAACCGGCCCTAAAGACCCCAAAACAGCCCGAATTCACCCCAAAACCAGCCCTAAAGAACCCAAAACCTCCCGAATTCACCCCAAAGCCAGCCCTAAAGACCCCAAAACCTCCCGAATTCATACTAAACCCGCTCTAAAGACCCCAAAACCTCCGGAATTCACCCCAAAACCGGCCGTAAAGACCCCAAAACCTCCCGAATTCACCCCAAAACCGGCTCTAAAGACCCCAAAACCGGCTCTAAAGACCCAAAAAGCTCCCGAATTCACCCCAAAACCAGCTTTAAAGACCCCAAAACTGCCCGAATTCATGCCAAAACCGGGTCCTCGTCCAGAACCAACACCAAAAGACCCCAAAACCTCCGGAATTCACCCCAAAACCGGCTCTAAAGACCACAAAACCTCGGGAATTCACCCCAAAACCGGCCCTGAAGACCCCAAAACCCCAGGAATTCACCCCAAAACCGGCTCTAAAGACCCCAAAACCCCCGGAATTCACCCCAAAGCCGCTGCCCCCCCCGTCCCCGGTACTCACGGTCCGCACTTGCCGCCTCAGCATGTACAGGACGAAGCTCCAGAGCTTGGCGGCGAAGGCCACGAAGGTCCGGAGGCCCAAGAGGCACTGGGTCCGCATCATCCCCCCTCCGGTTCCGGTTCCGGTCCCTCCGGTTCCGGTTCCGGTCCCCCCGGTCCGGCCTAGCTCCGCCAGCTTCGCGCTCCAGGCCCCAAAGCCGACCCCGGGCCCCACGTTTGAGGCCCGGGGGAGGCGGCAGCGGCGGCACCGGGCGGGCAATGGGGGAGCGGAAAGGAGCCCGGTGTAGGCCTCGGGTAGGCCTCAATGCGGAAGTGACGTCGGCGGAAGCGGGAAGAGCTCCGCCGGTAAACGGCGGCTTCGCCGCTCTCGCTGCCGCTGCTGGCGCCGCCGCCGGGGGTCACTTCCGGTGGAGCGCTTCCGGGGCGCGGGAGCGGCGCCAAGGAGACGGCGCATGCGTGGAGGGAGGGGCGAGAAGCCAATGGGAAGGGTGAAAGGGGAGAGGGGCGTGGTTATGTAAATCAAAGGCGGTGTCTCCGCGGAGGTGGGCGTGGTTATGCAAATGAGAGGCGAGGTTGCGCGGCTTCAGGACGACAGCGCCGGGTCCTAGCGCCCGCCCGCCCTATAACGAAGCGTTATTGGGGGGCTATGGGGTGCAATGGGGCTGGTTTGTGGGGTTCTATGGGGCAGATTTAGGCCTCCCCCGCCCCACATCACCCCCTATTGACCACACAATGCGGGGGGGTGCAAAACACAGCGGTTTTATTGCATTGTTTGTGTAGGTCCTACCAAAACCCTGCAGTGTTAATGTAGGGCCTATAATAACCAATGGGGGGGATGGGGGGGGTCACACATCCAGGTCGTCATCCGGGTCCTCATCTTCGGGGGGGTCCGGGTCTATGGGGGCGACCCCATGCATTGAGGTCCTGTATGGAGGGGAATTGGTTTAAACTGGTTTAAACTGGTTTAAACTGGGAAAGGGGGGGGTTTAATGGTGGGGGGGGGTCCCCCATTACCTGAGCTCATAGGGTGGGGGTACGGCCGCTCGTGCTGCTCGCTCGGCCTCCGACAGCCTCAAGCGGAAGGTGATGGGGGGAGGGGCACCCCCCAAGGTTGGGGGGCTGGGGGGGGGCCCCCCATTTCCTTCCATTGCCATGGGAGGGGGGGGCACCCCTAGGGTTCCATCGGGGTTCAAGGTGAAGGCTTCATCCTATGGGGAGGGGGATAAGGGGGTTTGGGGGGGTCCAAAATGGGTTTGAGGGGGGTAAAAGGGGTTTAGGGGGTGGCCCAATGGGGTTTATGAGGTCCTAATGGGGTTTGGGGGGGTCTTAATGGGGATTAGGGGGTCCCAATGGGGTTTGGGGGGGTCTAAAGGGGGTTTGGGGGGGCTAAAATAGGTTTGGGGGGGTTCCAATGGGCTTTATGTGGTCCCAATGTGGTTTGTGGGGATCCCAATGGGGTCTATGGGGTCCAAATGGGGCTTAGGGAGTCCCAATGGGGTTTGGGGGGGTCCCAATGGGTTTTGGGGGAGTCCAAAGGGGGTTTTGTGGGGGCTAAAAGGGGTTTGGGGGGGGCCCAATGGGGTTTATGGGGTCCCAATGTGGATTAGGGGGGTCCCAATGGGGTTTATGGGGTCCCAATGGTTGGGGGCCAATGGGGTTTATGGGGTCCCAATGTGGATTATGGGGGTCCCAATGGGGTTTATGGGGTGCGGGGGGCGACTAAATGGGGTTTAGGGCGGGCCGATGGTGTTTATGGGGTCCCAGTGGGGATTGGGGGGGCCCCAATGGGGTTTTTGGTTTCCCAATGGGGGTATATGGGGTCCCAATGGGGGTTTATGGGGACCACAATGGGGTCTATGGGGTCCCTATGGGGTCCCAATGGGGGTCTATGGGGTCACAATGGGGTTTGGGGGGGTTCACCCCCCTCCTTTACCACTCACCTTATGAGTGACCCCCCCTCGGCGGGGTCGTGTGAGGACACGGAGGCGCCTTGGGGGCGGGGCTCGGGGCGAGGGGGCGGGGCTTGATGGCGGGAAGGGGGCGGGGCTTCCCTCCAGCAGGAGCTGGGCGCTGGCCACGCCCCCCAGGGCGCGCAGCACGGCGGGGGGGTGGAGGTCCTCGTGCAACAGCGCCACCAAGCGGCCTGGAGGAGTGAGGGCCCTGTTAAACCCCATTGGGGAACCCATAGGGACCGCATAAGCCCCATTGGAACCCCATAGACACCATTGAGACCCCATAGACACCACTGGGACCCCATAGGGACCCCATTAGGACCCCACAGACCCCCATTGGGACCAAACAGACCCCCTTGAGACCCCATAGGGACCCCATAAATCCCATTGGAACCCCATAAAACCTCATTGGGACCCCATAAATGCCATTGGGACCCCATAGACCACCATTGGCACCCCATAGGGACTCTACAGACCCCACTGGGACCCCCATAAACGCCATTGGGACCCCATAGACCACCATTGGACCCCCCCAAACCCCATTGGGACCCCAGAAACCCCATTGGCACCTCGTAGACCCCATTGGGACCCCATAAGCACCCCACAGACCCCATTGGGACCCCATACACCCCATTGGGACTCCCATAAACCATCATTGGGCTGCAATAAACCCCTATTGGAACCACATAAACCCCCATTAGGACGCCATAAACCGCCATTGGCACCCCATAAACCCCCGTGGGAACCCCATAAACCCCATTGACACCCCATAACCCCATTGGCACCCCACAGACCCCATAAATCCCATTGGCACCCCATAAACCTCCATTTAAGCCCCTCCCCCCTTTAAGCCTCTCCCCCCTTTAAGCCCCTCCCCCCTTTAAGCCCCTCCCCCCCAAGCACTCACCTCCAGGGGGGGCCCCCCCCAGCAGCCCCCCCAAGGCCCGGCCCAGGTGGGGGAGGGGCAGGCGCAGCAGGAGCCAGCTCAGGGAGTCCAGGAGCAAGGTGGGGGAGGGGAGAGGGGGGGATCCCTCCCCTCCCCCCCCTACCCCCTCTCCCCTCCCCCAGCTCAGGGCCCCCAGGAGCCCCCCCAGGTCCATGGGGTGGGGGAAGGGCGGGGTCCAGAGGGGGGCGTGGTAATGGAGGCTGTTGGGGGAGGGGATATGGGGGGTTAACGGGGGTCTATGGGGGTCTATGGGGGTCTATGGGGGGGTAATGGGGGACAATGGGGGTTAATGGGGGGGTCTATGGGGGGCAATAGGGCAGTCCATAGGGGCGTTATGGCTGCTATAGGGTGCTATAGGGCGGTATGGCTGCTATAGGATGCTATACGGTGCTATGGGGCGCTATAGGGCGCTATGAATGCTATGGGGCGCTATGAGGTGCTATGGGGCACTATGGGGTGCTATGGGGCGCTATAGGGTGGTATGGGGCACTATAGGGTGCTATGGGTGCTATGGGGCGCTATGGGGGTTATGAGGGTCTATGGGGCGCTATGGGGTGCTATGGGGGTCTATGGGGCGCTATGGGGCACTCACCGCTCCTTCACTTCCGGGCTTAGCCCAGCCTCAAAGCGCTCCTGGGGGACATCGAGGAGGACGACGAGGACGGGCTCACCCCTGGGGGGGGAAGGGGGGTCCTGAGCCCCATAGAGACCCATAGAGCCCCATAGAACCCCATAGAGACCCCATAGAGCCCCATAGGGACCCATAGAGCCCCATAGGGACCCATAGAGACCCATAGGGACCCCATAGAGACCCATAGGGACCCGTAGAGCCCCACAGAGACCCTTAGAGACCCATAGGGACCCCATAGAGCCCCCACCTCTTCACGGCGGCCGTGGCAAAGGCCCGGAGGAGGCTGCGGCCCTCGCAGGTGGCGCTGTCTTGGGAGGGGAGACAGGGGTGAGCCCCATAGAGCCCCATAGAGCCCCATAGAGACACATAGAAACCCCATAGAGAAACATAGAGCCCCATAGGGACCCACAGAGCACCACAGAGCCCCATAGGCCCCTATAGAGACCCCATAGAGACCCACAGAAACCCATAGATCCCCATACAGCCCCTATAGAACCCCATAGACCGCCATAGAGCCCCACAGACCCCCATAGAGACCCCATAGAGCCCCATAGACCCCACATAGACCCCTATAGACCCCCACAGACCCCCCATAGACCCCCATAGAGCCCTATAGACACCCATAGACCCCCCATAGACCCCCATATCCCCACCATAGATCCCCATAGACCCCCATAAACCCCGCATAAACCCCCCATAGACCCCCATTGCCCCCCCCTCACCCCGCACCAGGACGAGGCCCCGCGCTCCCCCTTCCACCAGCGCCTCCAGCAGCCCGCTCCTGGGCGCCGCCATCTTGGCTCCTCCCCTTCCTCTCTCCGTGACGTCGCCTTACGCACGCCGTCCGGCGCTGCGCGATGACGTCACCCCCCCGCTTCCCCTTTCCCTGCGCGCCGCCATCTTGCCGTACGGAACACAAAATGGGTTAAAAGAAGGCGAAAACGGGTTTTATTGATGCAAAAAATCCCTATTATGGCTTCTTTTAGGTCTCCAGGAGCTGTTCGCAGGCTCGGGCCACGTCCCCCAGCTTGAGGCGGGCGTAATCGAGGCGGTTGAGGGCCATTTGGCAGCTCTTGCGCGCCCCATAAGTGGAGCCCTCGTGGGGCTGCCCCGTAGCCACCTATGGGGAGAAAGGGGAAGGCGGGGGGGTCAATGGGGAGGTCCCATAGGGTGGCAATGGGGCCTATAGGGCATAAAGGGGGGTTCATATAAGGGGTCAATGGGGGCTATAGGGCACAGACAGGGGTTCCTATAGGGTGTTTGTGTGTGGTCCTGTGGGGTGTAAAGAGGAGGTCCCATAAGGGATAAAGGGGGGGCTCTATAGGGCATAAAGGGCCATATAACCCTATGGCCCCTATGTCTTCTATATCCCCTATGGCATCCCTATGGCCCCTATGGCATCCTTATGCCCTCTATATCCCCTATAGCATCCCTATGTCCTCTATGGCATCCCTATGCCCCCCATATCCCCTATGGCATCACTATATCCTCTATGGCATTCCTATGTCCTCTATGGCATCCCTATGTTCCCTATATCCCCTATGGCACCCCTATATCCCCTATGGCATCCCTATGCTCCCTATGCCATCCCTGTCCCCCCTATGGACCCTATATCCCCTAAGGCATGCGTATGCCCTCTATGGCATTCCTATGCCCCCTATGGCATCTCTATGCTCCCTATGTCCCTTATGCCCCCTATATCCACTATGCCCCCTATAGCATCCCTATGCCCGCTATGGCATCCCTATGCCCCCTTTACCCCCTATGCCCCCTTTACCCCCTATATTCTCTATACACCCTATACCCCCTATAACCCCCTATATTCCCTATATCCCCTATATCCCCTATACCCCCTATATCCCCTATACCCCCTACAACCCCTATACCCCCTATACCCCTCTATTGCTATGGAGCCCCCATAGCACCCCCATACCTGGGTCAGGTACCGGATCTGGGCCGCGAGCTCGGCCTCCACCTTGAGCAGGGCGGCGCTGAACTGGGCGGACTGGCGCTCCAGGGGGCGCTCGCCCGGCTTCTCCTTGGACAGCTCCAGGATCACCAGGCCTGGAATGGGAATGGCCACGCCCCCGTTATGGCCACGCCCCCAAGCAGACCACGCCCATTGAGCGCTGACCACTCCCTCTACCCGTAGGCCCTGCATATGTAAAGCCACGCCCCCCATAACCAGGCCACGCCTCCATCCATAAACACGCCCCTTTCGGTCCCCATAGCAAAGGGGGACCGGGAAGCCACGCCCCCTCCCGTCACCATGGCAACCGGTACCCCCGAAGCCACGCCCCCTCAGCGGGCTCCCATTGGAAGCCGCGCCCCCGCTTGTCACCATGGCACCCGGTACACGTGACTTCACACCTCCCTCTCTGACCACGCCCCCATGTGCTCAGGCCCGCTAAGCCACGCCCCCTCAGCGGGCTCCCATTGGAAGCCGCGCCCCCGCTTGTCACCATGGCACCCGGTACACGTGACTTCACACCTCCCTCTCTGACCACGCCCCCTGTGTGCTCAGGCCCGGTAAGCCACGCCCCCTCCCGTCACCATAGAAACCGCTGCCCTCAGAGGGCGCCCATTGGTCACCGCGGCAACCGGGACTCCTTAAGCCCCGCCCCTCAGCACGCCCCCTTCCGGTCACCGCGGCAACCGGGACCCCTGAAGCCCCGCCCCTTCAGCAGGCCCCAATAGCAAACCACGCCCCCTCCGGTCACCATGGCACCCGGACCCCCTGAAGCCCCGCCCCCTGCCGCCGAGGCCCCGCGCACCCGCGCTCTGCAGCGCCGCCGCGATCTCCCGCTCCAGCTCCTCCAGCACCCGCAGCCGGTCGTTGGCCACCGCGTAGCCGGCCATGGCCACCGCTTCCGCTTCCGGTCCCGCCTCCCTCTTCCGGTTCCTCCTCCCGGTTCCGCTTCCTCCCCCCGGTTTCGCTTTCACCTCGCGGTTAGGACCTCCGCGGCCTTGCCTAATCCCGCCCCTCCGCGCATGCGCGGCGCAGCGCGACGCGGCCGCTCTACGCGGCCTCTCTGTGATACGCGGTCCTCCGGGTGTCTAAAAATGCCCCCAAACCGCACCGAAACCACCTAAAAATGACCCAAAATGACCCAAAATCACCTGGAAATGACCCAAAAAACCACCCTACACCGGTTTGTTGTGTTCGTGTTCAGGAGGGTGTGAACGGGCTTGGCCCTCCCCCTTCCGGCGCGCCGTCCTGACGTCATCACGCAGCGCCGGCAGCATGGCGGCCGGCTGCACGGCGCGCTCGCCCGGCGCGGCGCTGCTCGAGGCCCTGAGCGCGCTCCCGCCGGCCCGGGGCGCGCTCCCGAGGCTCGTGCGGGGCCTCCGCGACAGCGCCGGGACCCAGGTACCGGCCCCTCCCCCCTCCGTTTCCTCCCCTCCCTTCCCCCCACAAAGCATCCGGTAACGGGAGCCCTTCCCCCGCCCCCCCAAATTGGTTTGGTTCCGCCCCCCCTCCGGATACCACGTGACCAGCCCTGCAGACCCCGTGACTCCCCCCCCCCCCCATTGAGCCCCATTAGGTCCCATTGACCCCCCCACCCCCAATGCTGCTCTGACCACCCCCATTGACCTCAGCCCTTTGGTGACCTTTGGCCCCCCAGTAATATTTGACCCATAAATGATCCCCTCATTGACCTTTCACCCCCTTTGTTGACCTCTGACCCCCCCCCATTCACCCCCCATTGACACCCCATTGACGTCTGACCACCCCATTGACCCCCCATAACCTCTCCGTTGACCTCTGACCACCCCACTGACCCCCATTAACCCCCCATAACCTCTCCATTGACCCCCATTGCCCTCCCCATTGACCCCCATGGACCTCTGACCCCCCATTGCAACCCCATAACCTCTCCTTTGAACCCCCATTGACCTCTGACCCCCCCCATTGAGTCCTATTGACCTCAGACCCCCCCATTGACACCCATAACCCCTCCATTGTCCCCCATTGACCTCCCCGTTGCACCCACTGACCTCTGACCCCCCATTGATCTCTATTGATCTCTCCATTGACCCCCATTGACCTCTGACCCCCCGACGCCCCCCCCCCACCATTGACCCCCATGGACCTCTGACCCCCCATTGATCCCTATTGATCTCTCCATTGACCCCCATTGACCTCTGACCCCACGTTGGCCCCACTTCTTGACCTCCGCCCTCTGATCACGTGACCGCAGAGCGCTCAGGCCATTGGTGGCCTCGTGGGGGTCACCAGCGCCCGCCTCAGCTCCATGAAGACCCGGTGAGTGGCTGCCGCCTCGGCCAATCAGAGCGCACCGTTCCTCCCCCTCCTCCTTCTTATTGGCTGGCGGTTTAAAGGGGGGGGGAGGGAGCAAAACGTGAGGCAGGAGCCAATGGGAACGCAGCATTGCGGGTGGAGGGGGGCGTGGCTTGGTCGTTAGCCAATAGCAGCAGGTGCTGCATTGCCATTGGCTGTTTAGACAGAGGTTTGGGATAGGCCAATCAGAAGCAGTCTCTTTTTAGGGCCTGGAGTCCAGCTCTGCCTCTCATTGGTTGGTTTATTAGGGGAAGGTGGGGCAGGGAGATTAGACAGCCAATCAGCACACAGGCTAGGCAATTAAGCAGCCAATCAGATGGTACCTCAGTGTTGTGCTGCCTCCCATTGGCCTATGGGCGATGGGGAGGGGTTGATGGGGGGGGCGTGTCATTGTTCCCCACCCATAACCCCCCCACTCCCTATTGGCTGCGGCTTAGCCGCCATCAGCCAATCAGCGCTCGGTTGGGGTTGGCCAATCAGGGCTCGGCTCTTGGCCTGCCTCAGCCAATGGCGTTGCAGGTTCGAGGGGCTCTGCCTCCTCTCCCTGCTGGTGAGCGAGAGCCCCACGGAGCCCTTTACCCAGCACTGCCTGGGCTGGCTGCGGGCCCTGCAGCACCTCCTGCAGGTAAGGGGGGGCTATGGGGGTCTATGGGGGAGCTATGGGAGGGCTATGGGGGGGCTATGGGGGTCTATGGGGGGTCTATGGGGGTCTGGGGGGGGATATGGGGGTCTATGGGGGGGATATGGGGGTCTATGGGGGGTCTATGGGGGTCTGGGGGGGGATATGGGGGTCTATGGGGGTCTATGGGGGGGATATGGGGGTCTATGGGGGGCTATGGGGGGTCTATGGGGGTCTATGGGGGTCTGTGGGGTCTGTATGGGGGTCTATGGGGGTCTATGGGGTCTCTATGGGTCTCTATGGGGCTCTATGGGGCTCTATGGGGTCTCTAGGGGTTATGACGTGGCCTCAAAGGGGATTCTATGGGGCTCAGAGGGTCCCAATGGGGTTTGGAGATCCCTCTGCTGCCCCCATAGGGATGCTCCATAGGGATAAAGGGGGGTCATTGCGTCCCTATAGGGATGTTCCATAGGGATGCTCCATAGGGATAAAGGGGGGTCATTGCATCCCTATATTGATGCTCCATAGGGATGCTCCATAGGAATGCTCCATAGGAACCAATGGAGGGGTCACTGTGTACCCCATAGGAACGCCCCATAGGTACCAATGGGGGTCCTCACCGTGTCCCCCCCTCTCCCCCCCCATAGTCCCAGGACCCCCCCCCCACCATGGCCTTGGGGGTCCTGGTTCTCCAGGACCTGCTCCGCTTCTCCTCCCAACTGCCCGAGCTGGCGCGGGACATCGGGACCGACCACATCCCGGGGCTGCTGACCTCCCTGCTGGCCCTGCGCCCCGAGGTGCGCTCCTATGGGGCGCTATGGGGGGCTATGGGGGGGTATGGGGGGTCTATGGGGGTCTATGGGGAGCCGCTTCCATTGAGTGTCAATGGTGCTGGGGAGCGCGGCACGGGGTGGCCGCTAGGGGGCGGTATAGTGCTGCAGGGGGCGGGGTCAGCTGAGGACACGCCCCCTGCTCTGCCTTGTCTGGTGCGGCGTGGCCAGCAGGGGGCGGTATAGTGCTGGGATATGGGGGGATATGGGGGTCTATGGGGGGTCTATGGGGGTCTATGGGGGGTCTATGGGGGTCTATGGGGTTACAATGGGGTTCTATGGGGTGCTATGGGGACATCGGGGCCGACCACATCCTGGGGCTGCTGACCTCCCTGCTGGCCCTGCGCCCCGAGGTGGGGTCTATGGGGTTCTATGGGGTGCTATGGGGTTCTATAGGGGTTATATGGGGTTATAGGGTGTTATATGGGGTTATATAGGATTATATGGGATTGTATAGCATTATATGGGGTTATATAGGCAGTATATGCAGTTGTATGGGGATTATATAGGGGTTGTTTGGGGATTATATGGGGTTATATAGGGTTACACAGCGTTATATGGGGTTATATAAGGGTTGTATGGGGTTTATATGGGGTTCTATAGGGGTTATATGGAGTTATATGGGCTTCTACAGGGGTTCTATGGGGTTATTTGGGGTTGTATAGGGGTTATATGGGGTTATGTAGGGTTTTATGGGGGCTATATAGGGGTTTTATGAGGGTTCTATAGAGGTTATGTGGGGTTTTAAAGGGGTTACATAGGGTTATGTAGGCGTTATGGTGTTACATAGAGTAAATATGGGGATATAGTGGGATTTGGGGGCCATATGGGGCTATATGGGGAGCAATATAGGGTTACATAGGAGCTCTATTGTCTCTATAGTCTTCTATGGGGGGTCACAGTGGCTCAATGGGGCTGCTCATGCCCCTATGGCCCCCTATGGGGCTGTATTGGGGCAGTGTGGGGGGGGTGGGGATGCCCCCCCTTTAACCCCATAACCCCCCCCCTTCTGCCCCCCAAGTGCGAGGTCTCCACCCTAGAGGGCATCAAGGCCTGCATGAGCTTCTACCCCCGAGCCTGTGGCTCTATGAGGGTAAGAACCCCCCCATTGCCCCCCATTCATCCTCAAAATGGAATGGTCCAAATGGGATGGGGGAGGGGTCCCCCCTTTCCATCCCCCCCACCCCCAAAATGGGATGGTCCAAATGGGATGGGGGAGGGGTTCCCGCCTTTCCATCCCCCCCCCACTCCCAAAAATGGAATGGTCCAAATGGGATGGGGGAGGGGTTCCCCCCATCCCCCCCCAGTGGAATGGTCCAAATGGGATGGGGGGGGAGGGGTTCCCCCATTTCCACCCCCCCCTCCAAAATGGAATGGTCCAAATGGGATGGGGGAGGGGTCCCCCCTTTCCATCCCCCCCCCCCCAAATGGAATGGTCCAAATGGGATGGGGGAGGGGTCCCCCCATCCCCCCCCATTGACCCCCATATTCCCATAGGGGAAACTGGCCGCCTATTTCCTAGCCCGCATCGACTCCGACTCCCCCCAAGTGCAACAGGTAAAGGGGGGGGGGTGTTTAATTTTGGGGGTGCACCCCCCATTTTGGTTTTGGGGGTTCCCATCCTAATTTGGGGTGATTTTGGGCCATTTTGGGGTGGTTTTGGGTGGTTTTGGGGTTGTTTTAGGTGGTTTTTGGGCTGTTTCAGGACTGTTTTAATTCGTTTCCCCCCCTATTCTAGTTGGCACTTGGGCTCTCCCACTCGCCCCCAAGGGGGTTTTAGGGCCGTTTTAAGGCATTTTACACCATTTTTGGGTCATTTTGGGCTGGTTTACATGGATTTTGGGTCATTTTGCAGGGTTTAGGAGGTGTTTCAGGTGGATTTGGGGTGGTTTTGAGCTGTTTTGGGGCTGTTTTGGCCCATTTTATCACTGGTACCACCACCGAGCTGCTGTGTTTAGGCTCATTTTGGGCTGTTTTGGCTCATTTTGGGGTCATTTTGGGGGTTTTAGGGTGCGTTTGACGCCATTTTTGGGGTGTTTTAGGCCGTTTTGGGCTGTTTTTACCTGTTTTCGCCCTATTTTACAGCTGGCATGCGAATGCTATGCACTGGTACCACCACTGAGCTGCAATCCCTCATCTGGCCTCCAGAGGGCGCCTTAGGGGTGTTCTAGGCTCATTTTGGGGCTGTTTTGGCTCATTTTGGGGCTGTTTTGGCTCATTTTGGGCTCATTTTGGGGGTTTTAGGGGGCGTTTAAGACCATTTTTGGGGTTTTTAGACCGTTTTAGGGCTGTTTTTAACCGTTTTCGCCCTGTTTTACAGCTGGCGTATGCTTGCACTGGTCAGAGCTGTTTCCCTCACCTGTGCTCCAGGGGGCGCTTTAGGGCCGTTTTGGGCTCATTTGGGGCCATTTTCGCTCATTTTGGGGCCGTTTTGGCTCATTTTGGGGGTTTTAGGGGGCGTTTAAAGCCATTTTGGGGGGTTTTAGACCATTTTAGGGCTGTTTTTACCCGTTTTCGCCCTGTTTTACAGCTGGCGTGTGAATGCTATGCACTGGTACCACCACCGAGCTGCAATCCCTCACCTGGCCTACAGAGGGCGCTTTAGGGCTGTTTTGGGCTCATTTGGGGCCATTTTCGCTCATTTTGGGGCCGTTTTGGCTCATTTTGGGGGTTTTAGGGGGCGTTTAAAACCATTTTTGGGGTTTTTAGACCGTTTTAGGGCTGTTTTTACCCGTTTTCGCCTGTTTTACAGCTGGCGTGCGAGTGCTATGCACTGGTACCACCACCGAGCTGCAATCCCTCACCTGGTCTCTAGAGGGCGCTTTAGGGGTGTTTAGGCTCATTTAGGGCCATTTTCGCTCATTTTGGGGCCGTTTTGGCTCATTTTGGGGTCATTTTGGGGGTTTTAGGGGGCGTTTAAGGCCATTTTTGGGGTTTTTAGACCGTTTTAGGGCTGTTTTTACCCGTTTTCGCCCTGTTTTACAGCTGGCGTGTAAATGCTCTGCACTGGTACCACCACCGAGCTGCAATCCCTCACCTGGCCTCCAGAGGGCGCTTTAGGGCCGTTTTGGGCTCATTTGGGGCCATTTTCGCTCATTTTGGGGCCGTTTTGGCTCATTTTGGGGGTTTTAGGGGGTGTTTGATGCCATTTTTGGGGTTTTTAGACCGTTTTAGGGCTGTTTTTACCCGTTTTCGCCCTGTTTTACAGCTGGCATGTGAATGCTATGCACTGGTACCGGCATTGGGCCGCGGCTTCGCGCAGGGGCTGCGTCACACCGAGGGCTGGCACCAGGAGCTCCAGGGGCTGCTGGCAACGCTGCATGGGCTGCTCGGGGAGCTCTTTGAGGGCTGCGAGAGCGGTAATGGGGGGCTATGGGGGTGTCTATGGGGGTCTATGGGGGGCTATGGGGGGTCTATGGGGGTCTATGGGGGGTATATGGGGGTCTATGGGGTCTATGGGGGGCTATGGGGGTCTATGGGGGTCTATGGGGGGGATATGGGGGTCTATGGGGGGTCTATGGGGGGGATATGGGGGGTCTATGGGGGGATATGGGGGTCTATGGGGGGTCTATGGGGGGATATGGGGGTCTATGGGGGGGATATGGGGGTCTATGGGGGGGATATGGGGGTCTATGGGGGGGATATGGGGGGTCTATGGGGGGTCTATGGGGGTCTATGGGGGGTCTATGGGGGTCTATGGGGGTCTATGGGGGGTCTATGGGGGTCTATGGGGTTCTATGGGGGGTCTATGGGGGTCTATGGGGGGCTATGGGGGTCTATGGGGCTATGGGGGGATATGGGGGTATGGGGCTATGGGGGGCTATGGGGTCTATGGGGGGTCTATGGGGGTCTATGGGTTGGGGGTCTATGGGGGGTCTATGGGGGTCTATGGGGGTCTATGGGGGTCTATGGGGGGTCTATGGGGGGTCTATGGGAGTCTATGGGCATCTATGGGGGGGATATGGGGGGCTATGGGGGGTCTATGTGGGGCTATGGGGGGTCTATGGGGGTCTATGGGGGGTCTATGGGGCTCTATGGGGACCCTGTCCTTGACCCCCCCTTTCCCCACCCCCCAGAGCCGCTGCCCTATGAGGGGCCGGGGGTGGAGCTTCTGCTCCCGGCCCCCCCCGACGGGGACCCCAGCATCAGCCTCACCCTGCACAAGCGCTGCTCGGGGCTGGCGCGGGTGCTGCAGCTGCTGCTCAGGTACAGAAACGGCCCCAAATGCACCCAAAATGCACCAAAATGGCCCAAAATGCACCCAAAATGCACCAAAACGGCCCAAAATGCACCCAAAACGCAGCAAAATGGCCCAAAATGCACCCAAAATGCACCAAAATGGCCCAAAATGCACCAAAACGGCCCCAAATGCACCCAAAATGCAGCAAAATGGCCCAAAATGCAGCAAAATGGTCCCAAATGCACGCAAAATGCAGCAAAATGGCCCAAAATACACCCAAAATGCACCAAAATGGCTCAAAATGCACCAAAACGGTCCCAAATGCACCCAAAATGCACTAAAATGGCCCAAAATGCAGCAAAACGGCCCCAAATGCACACAAGACGCACCAAAATGGCTCAAAATGCACCAAAATGGTCCCAAATGCACCCAAAATGCACCAAAATGGCTCAAAATGCACCAAAATGGTCCCAAATGCACCCAAAATGCACCAAAATGGCCCAAAATGCACCAAAATGGCCCAAAATGCACCCAAATACAGCAAAACAGACCCAAATGTACCAAAAATGCACTAAAACAGCCCCAAATTCACCAAAAATGCACTATAACGGCCCCAAAACACTCCAAAATGCACCCAAAACAGCACCAAATCACCACAAAATACACCCAAAATACACCCGAAACACCCCAAAATAAACCCCTAAAATACACCTGAAACAGCCCTAAGACACCCCCAAAACACCCAAAAATACATCCAGAACACCCCAAAATACACCCAAAACCGCCTGGAACAGCCCCAAATCACCCCAAAATACACCCAAAACACCCCGAAACAGCCCTAAATCACCCCAAAAGACACCTGAAACACCCCAAAATACACAGAAATCACCCCAAAATCCCCCCCCCTTTTAACCCCCATCTCCCCCCTTTAACCCCCATCTCCCCCCCTTTGACCCCCATCTCCCCCCCCCCAGCAAGGAGTTCGTTGCCCCGGTAACGGTTCCGGTCCAGGACATCCTGGACCTGGTGTGCAGGGCCCTGAACATCACCCCCAAAACCATCGTGAGTTGGAACCTTCCATGGGGACCAATGGGAGCGTCCCATTGGATGGGGGGGGAATGGGAGCATCCCATTGGATGGG